TCCAAAGAGCATTAAGCAGCATGGGAGAGGCGAGGAATGTGGTTTAGAGATGAGGGTACTTTGCCTTAGAGACTGCAGTGGCCCGAGCGTGAGTGGAAGGGGGAGGTCAGACAGTCCTTTCCAAGCTATGTGCCTAAATACCAGCACTCTCCTGTCGAGGGAGGAACTATAGGCGGCTACAACACTAATAGCACCCGCATTGTGAGGGGGTGTGAAGTGTGGCTAAGCAGGGCACGAGGGCCTGGTTTGTTTGTCTTCTGGCCCTGTAGCAGCATCAAACTGCATCTGAGTTCACTGCCCTCTGCTTCTGAGGGGAGCAGAGAGCTCCAGGCGGTTTTCTCTTTCTCCATTCCTTGTGCTCCAAATGAAGGAGACACTGCCGAGACTGGAAGAGGGTTTACTTCAGTTCGTGCAAAGGAGGTGGTGTGATCTCTCTTTTGTGACCAGCATTCAAAGATCACTCAGGCTGGTGTGATCTATAAAATAAATTTTAAAAAAGTTTGTTCCAAGTTAAAGTATGTCTTGTTGCTTTTTGTCCTTCTGAAAAACCAGCGCTTGCAGCTTTAATGCTGAAAGCCACACCAAGCAGTTTTTGCCTGGCACTGTGCTCCTTTGCTGGCTACGAGAGGAGGCTGTGTTCGTAGTGACAGCAGGGGAAGGTATGCCATGCTGCAGGAGCGCTGCCGGTGAGCCTCTGCACAGCCCCAACAGCTTTTACTCTGCCTAAGATTTAGTGCTTCTCGGTGGTGGAGTGGTGAAATGAGATTGTTTGCATGGTGTGAGCTGTGCTGTGTAAGTATGTACGTGTGTCAAGAGCTGCTACAGCAAATCATTTGGGGCCAGCTCTGTCAATTGATCAATCAGAGACACTTTGCTAGAGGATGCAGTTTTAGCACAGCACTTCCACTCCCTGCATAAGCTTGTGCTCCCTGGGCCCTTGCAGTGATGTGCACCTCACCTCTTTCTGTAAATACAGGAGGACTTTTCAGGGTGTGGAATGGGCCTTCTCCTGCCTCCTAGGTTCATCTTGGAGGGTCACGAAGGCTTTTTCTGCCCTGCACCACCCTTTCCTAACACAGGTAAGTGTTGGGCTGGGAGCTGGTGGTAGCCTGAGCGAAGACCCACCCAGCCCCACTACTCCTGGTGTATCAGATGCTACGGACACCTGCGGGGAGCAGAGATGCTGGAGGTGTGCTCACCCCTCTGCTCCTGTCTGTGCTTGAGCCCTTCATCCTGAGCATCCAATACTCCACCCCTTCCCATTTGTTGTCCAGATAAGTTTTTTCTGTTGGTCCCCCTCCCCATTCTTCTGTTTCCCTCCCTGTGCTGGGACAGCCATGTGCCCATGGTAAGGAAAAGAGAGCAACCTGCAGCTACCCTTAGTCGTGGTTTGTCAGGCTTTGTCTTTGCCATCCCTGCTGCCCCAGCCTCGTTTGCCACTCCTCAGGGCCAAGCCAGGCTCTGCTCATGCCCAGGATAAGGCAGAGGATGGACGAATGCCCAGGGACAGCTTGGAGGTCACAGTCCTGGTCTGTCAACTACTAGAAGTCACTGAAGTCCCAAGCAATTAGAGTTCTTAAAGAGTAAGCCTTGTTTTCATCATTGCTCCAAGCAGTTTTTGCATCCCAGAGCCTGCTCAATGACAAGGTGGAAACTGCTGACCCTAGAGTGAGGATGTCAGGCTGGAAAATAAGGATTTGCCCTGAGAACACATAGACAAAGCTATTCTTGTAGTTCTTCTATCTACTAGCTGTATATCATTCCCATCAGCAAATTCACCTGCAAAACACAGCAGTTTTGATATTTTATTTGTCTTGGTCTTTTTTTTTTCTTGCATAGGCATAAATTACAATCTGTTGATTAAAAAATAAAAAGGAACAAAACAGTGCAGCATTTGCAACAGGCTACAGCATCAAATACAAACTTGTCGCCTGCCTGTAACCATCTGTTTCTGCAGGGCTAATTCATAACACATGTGTAGGGCAAACGGAGAAGGAGAGAGAATAGAGGAGGGAAATGGAGTAAATGAGGGAAAGCTGCTCTGACAGCTGTTTCACATTTCTCCTGCCTCCCCAGGTTCATCCTCTGCCTAAATAGCCCTGGGCAGAGATGCACCATGCTGAAGCAGCAGTTTTATGTGTCCTCTTTTCCTTTGCAGCTCAGGAAAGCGTTACAGAAATGCTGCAAGCTGCTACTGGCAAGAGGCAGCTGCCTGGGTATTTGCTACAGAATTTGGGGGCTGAAAAACCACACATAACCTCAACATGCCTTCCTGGGGATCCTCACGCAGTCGGCATCGTGAGGCCTCTAAAATCAGCACTGTCCTCTAGAGAAGAGCATAAATCCCCCCAGGGTGACCTCTTACTTGTGGCTCCAGGGGGTTTTACCCCAGAACAGCAGTGACTTTGGTCTCCAAAGGACAGGGCAAGCTCACCCTGGAAAGCCAAAATACTCCCTGCCCCACAGCCAGTAGTTCACAGACCCCCAGGAGGAGCAGAGACCCCCGCTCCCCCTTTCCCACCCCTCACCAGCACACCTCATTTACCAAGAGATCATCCACCCCAGTAGCCCAACCCAGAGGCCAGGGAGCCAGAAGGGAGGTAAGAGAAAGGGGTTTTCCAGCCTTGTGGTTATGGCATTTGCTCCAGCAGCCAGAGAAGCCCTGGGGAAGGGGGAGAGCTTCATCTCTGCTCTCTCTCTTTACCATACAATTAAATACAGGACCCATTCTGCTGAGCCCAGGACAGGTCTGGGCATTCACAACAGCACAAATCTGTGCACGCAGGGCACTCATGGACATGACTCCAAGGCAAGCAGGCAGCTGTAGACAAGTTTAAAATAACTTTGGCTGCAGATGCCAAGAATTAAGACTACGCTCAATATAGGAGAGAATTTGTCATCACTGGATCTGGCTGCAGGTCTGCTTTCTCCTGGCAGCCTGGCCTCCCAGCTCTGCAGGAGGCTCCACAGGGTAATTTTAACCTGTTGAGATGGGGTTGCCCCCTTCGGGCTCGCCTCCCTTGCTTGGAGCAAGGAGACCCCTCTAGAAGGGATGTGTCTTGTGTAATTATCCCACATCACACCTATAGCCTGTGTCCTGGTGGTTAACACTCAGAACATCAAAGGATGCTTTACTACATCCAGGTGTTTACTAAGAGGAGCTGGACAAGCACTTGCAGTGGTGTGCCACATCCACGCACGCTTGCTAAGGAACCATCAGGTTGTTGTGAACCACTATAGATGCTTGTTAATAAAGCACGCTTGGCCATTGATTTTGGAATCCTGGGCCAATCACTGATGGGTTGCGTATAGGTGATGCTCCTGTTTGTAAGGCAGCACAGTTGCTGAGGGTCACTCACCAGCACAGTGAATCCTTCCTGGCCAAGGCCCCTTGACGTCATTTCCTGCACTACTAACTTGTATCCTTTGATAATGAATACAGAATTTTGTGTATTGGTGATACGCTTTTGCATTGTAATTGCTATAGCCTCTGGCTGCTTGCTGGCACATCAATTAAAGTTGATAATTTCTCAAACAAATTTGATGACTCATTGTCAATCGCTCGACACTTTGGGTCCATCAAGTCAACTGAAGGTTGACAACCTAGAATTGGTAAGTGTGCAATAATCTGGTGGAATTAAGGAGGAGCTTCGGAATGGTATTTTGAGTACTCAGTTATCAGACTCCACTCCCACCCGAACCGTAACAGACACCCCATCCCAGTTTATCAGACTGTGACAATGTGCCACCATTGCCCTCAGCCCCTGGGGCTGGCACGGAGGGACACAGGGCTCGGCCCCTCTGCCCGACACACATCAGGGCATGCTGGAGGGAGAAACCTCTTCAGCCCCTTCCCCTCCTCTACACCCCTCACCCTACAGCACTTCAAGCGGAGAAGACCAAAGCAGGACTCAACTCACGGTGCTCCCCCTGCGCTCGCAGTGCCAGGGGAAGATGATGCCAACATCAGATGGGGCTGAAACACTGAACTCGAGCCCTTTAGCTTTTCTTTCAACAAAATGCAAGATGAACGGGGAGGTTGTAAACGCCATTTAAGCACAGAAGCCAAACCAAGCGTGCTGCAGGCAGCCAGGAGGTGGAGTGGCCAGCCGGCCCTGGCACTCCTCAGCCTGGGGAATGTCCCCACGCATCCTTCCTGCGGTCCCCTGCCACGGCTTCCCCCATCAAATGATGGGTACCAGCAGGATTTACGTGCCCCATGCAGGCAGGGCTCCCCATCCTGCTCCGGCACAGTCCTCTGCAGCCAGGGCTAGGGGAGCTGAGCAATGCCAGCGAGGAAAAGGCAGGAGGGAAAGAGAATCCTTCCAAGAGAAAGGAGGTCAGCCTGCGCCAGCCATCTGCCATTGGGGACCCAGCGGTGACAGAGACAGCCCTGAGCACTGCAGGCGGGGGGAGGCCCTGTTGTCTCCCCACCACCCAAGGTGAAGCAGCATGCTGGCACCTACAAGCCCTGGGGAAGGAGATCTCCCCCCTCCGCCCCGTCTCCCACCCAACAGACCACCGAGGCAGGGAAAAAAATCATTGCAGAGCACCAGGGTGGCTGCCAACAGTCGCCTATATACAGATGCAGCCACCGGTGAGCATCCCCGGCCATGCGTTGCAGTCTTGGAGAACGCCTCCGGAGCAAGGAGGGCAGGAGTGCCTCCGGCACCCTGCCAAGCAGCAGTCCACGGAGGACCTTGTCTCCCAGGTCCAGCTATCAAGCCACCGACAACTCGAGGCCCGTATTTTAAACGGCTCTGCTCATCTTATTCTAGCTTATCCTACTGTGCGTGCTATTCTCCTACTAAACAAAGCTCTAGCCCTCTCCACACCTAAGCCACTCACCCAAGCGGCACCACATAACATCCTCTGGTTAAGTAGAAATCACATGGAAAAAGTCTTTTTGCCTTTGTTACTACAAAAAAAAAAAAAATCCCTAACTCCCCAACTGGAATAACCCCCCCTCCCCACCACCCTTAAAAAAAAAACAACCCAAAAAACAAAAAACCAAACCAGAACAAACCCAAAAGGGGAAGCAGGCAACAGGAATTTTCAATAGCATTTTCAAGCTTAACACCAGGGAACCGGCCAGCCGGGGAGGCCAATGGCATCGCCAAGACCCGACACAGCCGCCAGCAACAAGAGGGCTCGAGCGGACGGACAGCAGCACCGGGGTGGGCTCCACCACCGTGTGCCAAATTTCTCCCCTCCTGCTGCCCAAAACCGTTAGTTTTATATTAATACTCCGTTAATACTGTCTTATTTCCCCTCTGCTGGCCCAGCATCAGAGGTGTGGAAAGCTTCACCTAAACCAACACCAAGGCAGGAGAGATGACCCTGCACAGAGGGGAGAGACTCGGTGGCCATGACCGGTGGCTCCTACCTACTCTGGCAGCACCAAGCCAGTCACCGCGGTCCCATACGCCATATCACGCCCAAAAGCCCGCGTGAAGCACATCGCAAAATTACATACCCCTTTCCCAAGCCCCGGCAACGCTAGGCGCGCCGTCAGAAAGAAGCTGGGCAACGGGGACGAGGGGCTGCGCAGACCCGATAAAAAATTAGCTTAAAAAGTTAAAATGTCCGATACGCGCTGAAAACAAGCCAGGCCGCGCTAGGACCCACGTGGGATGCTCTTGCCTCACCACCCCGGTCCTTGGACGAGTGAAAGCCTCACCCCTTAAACACCAGCTCTTCTCCTCCCCTGAGGGGAGCAGCTCCCTGGGGCGGCTGCTGGCGCATCCCAGGATTTCTACGTATGAAGCAGCGAACCAGACGAATCCCTTCTTGCTGTCGGCCCGGCAGCATCCTCGTCCCATGCGGAAGCCGGGGTTCAGTGCGCCGGCTCCCCATGCACGCGGAAGCGGTAGATGCAGGTATATTCGGGGTGGCCCCAATTGCTCAGCACCCGGAGCTCCACCAGCTGGTACGTGCCCACAGCATCACCCTTGGGGAGAAGGAAAAACCTGAGCCCTTGAGAGCTCTCGAGGGCTCAGAGACCCCCAAGGTCCCCATTTCCTTCTTGGGGTCGGGTGTTCGAGGGCAAAGCTTACTTACCTCCAAGTAAAACGTTTGGATGGGGTCACCGTCATGGTTGTAGGTGAACTGCCCAAGGAGAAAGCCCTCCTCCTCTCTCTCCTCCTTCAAGCCCTACAGAGGGGCAGGGACGCAGAAAGGGAGAACCAGGGGGCGATCAGAGAGGGAGACCAGAGGCGGTGAGCGCACCCCGGGGGGGAAAGAGGGAGACGGAGACGCAAGCGCGCTTGGCCCCTGCTCCTGCTCTTCCAGGCCAAAGGGGGCAAATGGGGACAGGGGCCAGTGGGGAAGGATGGGGGGGAAGACCAAGAGAGTTACACCTACTCAATCCCCTCTCTCCCAGTGTCCCCCCAAGCCCCTCCTGAAGCCCAGTGCTTCCCCTCTCCCCGCCCCCCACCTCAGTGCTTCTTTCTCCTCTTCAGGATATGAGCAACCCCCCAGAGCACCCCACAGCCTGGTATGGGGCTCGCTAGCCCTCCCCTCCCACGTCCTCCACCACAGCACCCTCCCACCATGTCCCCCCGCTCCTCCCTCGGGTCCAGGCGAGGGCACTCACATAGACAGCGAAGTCCTTGGGGGCACTGGGGATGGTCCCCTGGGGCGAGAGGGCTTTTGGGATGTGCTCCAGCGTCACGGCCGTGGGGCGGATAATGCTGGAGAGGCGGATGATGGCAAAGCCCTGGGACCCACGAAACGCCCAGCAGTTCCCGGGGTTGACATCTGGCTATGAGCGTGGGAACAAGCCACCAGCAACGTTATCACCATCAGCGCCGCTTTTCTCCCGCCCCGACATCAGCGTGGTCGCTTGCTTGGAGCGACAGCCCAATAAAACCCACCGAGCCCACGCAAGAACTGGCCCGCCCAGTCCTCCCCCTCAGTGGGGTCTCGCCCCGAGGGTGCCCACCTGCAGGATGACACGGGGGGACTGCGAGTGGTACCACAGGGGGATGCCGAACAAGCTCAGCAGCGCCGTCCGTGTCTCATAGGTCTCCGAGCAGCGGGTGTTGATGACGCTGGCCCCTGGCACCAAGAGGGGATGGCAGCAGGGTAAGCTGCGTGTCAGCACCCTCTGGTCCCCTCCCTAGGATGGCTGAGCTCGTCCCGGGTGGGTGAGAGCCCCCCATCACCTACCCGCCGACTCCAGAGCGTAGTCAACCATCCCCACACGGTCCTCGCTGTAGCGCTTCAGGGCCTGGCCCACGATGAGATGCACTTGCTGCGGTGGGAGCAGAAGGCGTGAGAGGGGTGAAGGGCCAGGGCGGGTGTCCCGTCCCCAACCTGCCTCGGAGAGGGCACAAGGACCTTCCCACAAAACAGCCGAGGGATGAATCACCATTGCAAAAACGAGAGGACACGCATTTGGCTGGGAAGCCTCGTTAGAGGTTGCTAAAAATACCCCAGACAAGAGGAGCTGTGCAATGAAGGGGCAAGCACCCAGGCACGCTGGGCTCACCCATCCCCATCCCAAGAGAGGGGCTGGTCCCAGGGGAGGAGGGGTATCCCTCAGCAGGTACCAGATACAACCTGACAGTCCACCAGTCCTCCCCAACATTATCTGCTGGCCCCTCCTGCCCCATCACACAGGATCGATGGGAGCTCCCCTCCTCCAGAAAAGGGGGAGCCGGCCGGAGCATCCTTCTGGAGCCAAACCCAGCCCCAGGAGCTGTGACCCTGCAGCACCACTACGGGTCTAAACTTTACGGCGTGCGCACAAAGCTTACACAGACTGCGGGGGACTGCTAATCCCAGCTTGATTCCTCCCTCCGCTACCTCCACAGGGAATTGCCAACAACTCTTCCCAAAGCAAGCAGGCTCATTTTTTCCCTTGGTGTCATTCTGCTGAAATGCTTTGCCCCAAATGACTCAGCGGCGCTGCTGAAGGACAGGGGTAAGCAAGATGCTCAGCCCATGGAAACCTTGCTGGCACCTGCCCCGTTTTCTCGGTGAAAGACACATGAGCAGAAACATGGATTTTAAGGCAGCAAGAGCCTTGCAGGTGCGTGGATATCACCACCTGCGACCCCTTCCAGGGCAGGGCACGGGCACAGCCCAGGGGAGGCTGGCGGCAGAGAAGGGATGGAAGAGTTTCAGGGATGCTCTTGCCAGGTGGGATGTGAGCCCCGGATCGATGTCCCAGCTGTAAGGGCTGTCTCCACGGCTCTGCCACCTGCCAGGCATGTGTGCCAGCCCCCTGCCCTCCACACAGCCCCCGATCCCACACCCGTGGTCAACATCGCGTCCCTGGGGCTCAGGACAGCACTCACCTCCTCCGTCACCCCTACGGTCCCCCCTTGCCGCAGGGCCACTCCGATACCGGCTTGAGCATCCCGTGCCGACAGCCTCCAGTCCTCCAAGACTTTGGCCAGGATCTTGCGCTCCAGGGCTTGGAGCTCCGCTTGCAAATCTTCCCGCTGGAGGATGAGGCCAGCGGCACCGTCCTGCCGGGACTGTGACAGGAACCGACTGACCCACGCCGGGAACTGCGCTTCCACCTGAAAGAGTGGGGACAGAGCTCAGCTCCGGGGCAGGGACCCTCGTGATGAATGGGACGGGGACTGGGGACTCACATCAGCCCGCACAGCCTTCAGCTGCTCCAGCATCCCCTCCACGTGCTTCCCCATCACCTCCTGGTCCGACTTGAGACCCGCCAGCTCCCTCCTCAGCGCTGCCACCTCCTGCTCCAGCTTGGCCACCTCTTGCTGGAAGCTCCCTCGCAGGCCCTCCTGCACAGAGCTGCACCAAGAGAAAGGCAACAAAACCTTGCACTGACAGCCCCAGCTCCCCCCTCTGCAAACTAGGGGAGGGGGTTCATCCCTCACCGCCTACGCTCAACCCCATCTCCAGCCCCAAGGGGTTTTAATTCCTGTGGCAATGACCTCTTCTACTGCATCCCGTGGGAAAGCATCCCCGGCTCGCCCCTCAGCTGAAGGGCCACGCTCCCCACAGTGATGCGAAATGACGGTGGCGAAGCTCGTTTCCTGCAGTCGCTCTCTGAGCTCTGCTGCCAGCCAGGGCGCTTTCCTGCCAACATACCCACATATCCATCCCGCCTTCCCCCCCCCAAGACTGTACCTCTCAACCAACCTCTCCTTTGCCCAGAGCAAACCAGACCTGGAAACCCCTCCTAAGCCTGGCTGTGGGGACTTTCACCCTGCTATTTGCCTGCCCCTAAAAGAGCTGCAGCTCTGCCCGGACAGCCGGCGTTACCTCTGCCACTCCAAGTTCAGCTCCAGCAAGCGTGCCTCCATCTCCTGCCAGGAGAAGGGGAAGGGGTGAGACCCACGATGCCGGTGGTGAGGATGTCCTGCCCGGGTACCACCACACGCTCGTCCTCTTACCTGAGAGGCTTGTGCCATCTTCCCCAGGCGCCCATCTAAATCCCTCTGCACCTGGGCTCGGAAGGCATCCAGCTCGCCCTGCAGGGTGAGAAACAAGGGCAGGGAGGACATCAGAGCCTGGCCTCGTATGCCCCCCTCTCTCCCTGTGCCCCCTCTGCACCCCTCACCTGGAGATGGCTGGTCACATCGGTGCGGAGATGCTCCTTCAGCCCCGCATCCCGACGGCTCACCAGCCCCTCCAGCAGCGCCAGGAGGTCCCCCGGGGGCGGCTCTCCCTCCGCCGTCACCGCTGCCGCCCCTCGCCGCAGCTCCCACCGCGATACCTCGGCCTCCAGCGCCTCGAAGCGTTTCTCCAAGGCCTGGAAGCGAGCCAGGAGCCGGTGCTCCCCCCGCAGCCCCTGCGGCGGCAAAGGCAGGGCACGGTGTAGCCCCCCAGGGAGTTATGGCCACCCGGGGTGGGGGGGCACCTGGTCCCCAGGGATCCCTGCGAAAAGGGACCCAGGACCCCCTGGTTCCTAGAGTCAGCGGCATCTTATTCATCCGCTGCTTCCCAGGAGAGGGCAGATGCCCTGTGACACCCCGAGAGCGAGATGGCCACAAGCTGGGTGAGCCATTTCCACCAGCATGGAGCCACCTTCTGTCCTGTCCATCACCTCCCCATCCCCTGGAAGGGCTCCTTCAGCCACGGATCACACCGTCCCAGCTCTCCCCACAAAGTACCCATCCCACCCGGGCCACCGCCGCACTTCTGCTGAGGCTCACCTGGTCCAGCGCGGTCAGGTCCCCTGCCCCAGGCACATCGGAGGAGGAAAGTTTTCCGGCTCCCCACCACGGGAATGACGGGAGGTTGAGTGTCGACAGCCCGTACGGGTAGAAGTACCAAGCTCCTGGGCATGCAGTGGGATGAGATGGTTAAAACTACAGCGGTGGACGTGCAGAGACTCGGCCGTGAGCATCTCCTGGGGTTACCAGGAGGCCCCAGCACAGGGGTGCAGACACAGCGGGGTACCAGAAGCCACGAGAAGGGAGCTCGGGGCCATCCCATCCTTTCCCCTCCCCTGGGTACAGCAGCGGGATGCTCTGCACTGTTCCCAAATCTCAAGGCAACAGATCGAGCCAGACCGACTCACCATAGGCAGCAGCAGCGAGGAGCAGGAGGAGCAGCAGCAGCAGGAGGGACCTCTTCAGCCACGGGTAGCGCCTGGAGCACGGAGAAGAAAGAGGGGTCTGTAGGACAGCACCCACCTTCGCCCACCCCAGCACCCCTCTGGATGGGGGCCAGAGGGAAAGCAAAGCCCAGCCGGGCTTCGGCACAAGACGCCCACCCCACACGTGCCGGGCTCTGTGGGGCAGCCCCTCTCCAGGGTCCGGCAGGTTTTCCCCAACGCTTCCCCCATCCCAGCATCCCACCACCACGCTCACCTGGAGAGGGGGATGCCGCCCGAGCGGGGACCCGCACCGGTGAGGCGGCGCCAGGCAGCTGCCAGCCCGGAGAACAGCCATCCCACGAACCGAACTGCCGGGAGAGAAACCGAGCCTCAGGCGGGGTCCCGGCAGAGATGTCCCCTCCGTCCCCAAGGATGCTCCCACAGCGGGGATAAAACCCCTCCACCCGATCAGGGAACAGCACACCCGGCACGTGGGGAGCGGAGATACTCCAGGGAAGAAGCGTGCTGCTGGAAACCCCCCCACCAGCCCTCCACTTACCCGGGGAGGTGAGGACCTGCCAGAGGAAGGAGCCCACCCGGGAGGCTGCGGTCCTCAGCCCCGACCCAGAGCTGCTCTGGCCAGAGTAAAAGTGACCTGGAAAGGAAGAAGTGAGGTGGTAAATCACCAAACGGAGCCCGCACCCCTGTGCGTCACCCAGGGCAAAGGCTTTGCACAAGGGGCAGTAGGCAGCACCCCGGGCACAGCCAGGTCCTGGGCTGGTCCCCTCGGGGACATCTCCCCCAGCATCCCCACCACCGCAGAGAGGCTGGCGCATCCCTACCAGCATAGTCGTCTTCCGAAGAGTACCCAGACGACGAGGCATAGGTGTCGTACGTCTTGCTCTCCAGCAGCCCATTGATCTTACTGGACTCGGTGTCCCCTGTGCCTCTTCTCCTCCTGGTGGAGAGCTCCCCACCTGCCCCCGAAACACAGAATCTCCCTGAAAAAAACCCACAACCCCACAGGGGGCAAGCCGGCCAGCCAGCCAGCCTGGGGGGCTTCCCCACCACCCCGGTGCCCAGGGAGGGAGGGCTCACCCCAGTACGTGCTGCTGTCCAGGGCATCGTCCAGTACGGAGCTGCCCAGGGCGGCGAGGCCACGGCTGCCCCCCAGGTAGGACTCGCTCATCATGGACTCGCTGTAGTAGGAGGTTTGGGTGCTGGGGGCGGGAGACAGGCGCTTCGTGCTGCTCGATTTCCTCCTGATCGTCCTGCCGGGGGTGCGGAGGGGCTCATCAGCCACGCGTGGTTATGGGGTAGGGGAGGTGGGGGGATCACGGTGCGCCCACGGGGGAGAAAACGGGGAATTCGCCCCAATCCCTTGGCCACCATCACTTCCCTCCGCCTCCCCCACGGCAAGTTTCGGAAGGTGCAAACCGCCGCTTCGTGAAAAGCCCTCCCGCTCGTCCCCGGGGCAGCTGCCGGCACCGCTTCCGCTCGCACCGCTGCGGTTTTCCGGCCCGGCACTTGCAGCGCATCTCCCTCCCGCCATCGAGACGGAGGCGGCTGCGGCCGGGAAGAGGCACGCAGCCCCCCACCAGCCACCCACCCACCCACGGCAGCCGGGCCAGGATCGGGGTGCGGGGGGGGTGGGGGGAAAAGGACACACCGAGGTGCCAGGGACGGCGAGCCCGGGGGTTTTGCTTGGCACAACCAGCGCCAAGGTTGCCGGCGGCCATGACGAAACGCAGCGAGCTCGCCCTCGCGCTCCCTTCTGCCAGCCGCCCCGCTGCCCCCACCCGGGGAAAGCGCCCGGTCCG